GGTGGGGTGGGAAGTTGATTACTCACCTCCATTTGGAGTAACATTTCCAATTAGCGGCCTCCGTAGTCTAGGGGTAACGTTCCCACCTCATGACTCGTAGTATGCGGGTTCAAACCCGGCGGAGGTCATGGAATTTTTAAGGGCGGAAAAGTTCAGGGAACAAGTCCTCCGGGAGGGACTTTAAGCCATGTGTCCCGTGACATAGATTTATGGCACGTAAAAGAAACTCATGTCTCTAGGAGACCTCTGAGCTAAATTACAGGCACTTTCCCGCCCAAGTAGTTTCCAATGCCTCTGGTAGATGGGGGAAGCATCAAAGGTACTGAGGGCTGACCTTGTTGGGTCAACGGGGCTGATGGCACGCACCGTTACCGGTAGGGTATGGCGACAGTAGAAATTAAAGGGGGACGCACAATGGACCAATAACTGGTCTAAGTGCATGGGGAAACCCACCCCCTCTCATAATACGAACATGAATACAAACATTTCCAATTCCCCATATTGACAGTACAAACATAAAAGCAAAGGTGTCCCTCATGGAGGCGCATTGGGGACTGGATGCACAGTTCCACCATCTTGACATCAGCAATAGATAAAGATGAATGGTCAGCTTCATGCCAAACCTGCTTTACCCTTGGGGAAACAGCCCTGGCACATGCAGGATAGGTGGCTGGGTGTGCCCTTGCTGCTAATCAAAACCTAGCTGTCCAGCTTGTAGCCCGCTGTTATACCGACTGAACTATCCTGGCTTCTCACGGTTCTTAACTAAGTGCAGAGACAACTTTTTCTTTACCTTTAGCACAGTCACTACATATTAACAGACAATATTCTTTCTTATAGAATTGGTCGGTTCAATTGCCAGACCAAGAGAATAAATCCCATTGACTCACACAGACTCGCCTGATATTCAAAGTATCCATCATGCCCTGGATAATCTGTTGGGTGCAGGGGGCTCCACCGACTGCCCCAACTTTTAGTGTTGTCAGAGTCACGCCGAGCTTCTTGGCATTGATTATCAGGTCTGCATACAGAGAAGGTGAAGCAATAATGTTCGTACACCTGCAATTA